AACCAGCCTAGTTCAGCTAGTCGCCACCTGCTCCCTCCTCCTTTGATGGCGAAGCCAGGTTACTGAGGCAATGCAGCTCCCTCTAGCAAACATAGGGCCGTGTAGTGCCCGTCCACCTTTCTGATGATGTCTGCCTCCGCGCACAAAAATGAGATGGGCATCACTGCCAACGCCGCGGCCAGAAAGGCCCGCGCATCTACATTTCCCGCCTGACCCCATCAGTGCCGACCCAACTCCACCACCACACGCACGCCTCGCGGCGGATGCGCAGCAGCAAGAAGGTTTCGGTCATCCCTTGAGGGTGAGTCTAGCCCTGCTCGCCAGAAAGACCCCCCCCTTCGCTACAACCCATGTTTAAGCAAAAGCTTGTCGAGGAGCGAGGGGAAGAAGGGAGAGGGGTATGTGTGTGCATTTTCATGCTCTGGGAACTGCTGTAGCGTCCCTGACACTATTTCCCAAACGTTACCTATATTTCGGAATTTCCATCCGGTACCTATATTTCGGACCAGAGTGGTATGAAAATTCAGCACGCACCGCAGGAGGGAGGTGGGGCATGAAAAAAAATATAAAGAAAAAAACCCTGATGTTAACCCCCTCCTGTGAGACCCTTGTAGTTATTGATTTTCTTCACATTAAACTCGTGTCAGTTTCTAATCCCAAAATCTAGCAAAGACTCGGTCCGTGGTCACAAAGATGCTAGAGCCATCACAAGATCTAAAGAACACACACTATTAGCAAGGAAAGGGTACACAAGCCCGAGGAGGTACACCTGCAATCCCTGCAGCACGTTTGCGTGCTCACAACTAAACTACACGCCAACACACTACAAATTGACTACAGCAGCAGCATCACCCCCCTTGTCCCACACTTAACCAAAATGAATGTTTGTCGACTACAGCGTACTGCTGTCTGAAGTGCTGTCTGTACAATAATATCACCATGGTGCATGGTACACAAGCTCGGGGCATGGAGCTGCTGTCTGAAGTGCTGTCAAAATGAGCCCGTGGACATGCAATGAAGAATGCCCAACCAAAGCCATCATTGCAATTGACGATCACCCGAATCTATCCAGATCATCTGTGTTTGGCACAGCAGTGTAAACATCGACACCGACTAGGAATCGTTCCACACTGAAGGGGTCTTGCACGATGCAGGTACACAATGAAGGCACCCGGGTTATCCGCGCCATCTCTGCCGCGTCTCTCTACAAAACCAGTGACGTCATCACACACACCCAACACCTGTATTCAGAAAAAAAACGGGAAATAATTGACAATACAAGAGATGTTTGTCCGTGCGCCCCGGTTCGATGCCGTCCGCATGCTCCGGTGCCGCTGCTCCGGTGCCGCTGCTCCGGTGCCGCTGTGGCCAGTCCTAGCACGACCAAACTCGACCCGCTCCGCTTCGTACACGCTCTCGTTGCTGTCCTTCTCAGTCGGTTCCTCGCTTTCTCCCTCGTTGCACTTAGGGTTCTCGGTCTGAAGATTCTCGCGCCGAAGGGTCAACCAGCCCTATTAGCTCGTCACCACCTGTCTGTCCCCTCCTCCTTTGATGGCAAAACGACGTTACTGAGACAGTACAGCTCCCTCTAGCAAACCTAGGGCCGTGTACATAGTGCCCGTCCACCTTTCTGATGACGTCTGCCGCCGCGCACAAAGATGAGATGGGCATTCCTACCTACACCGACGGCCTGGAGGCCCGCGCATCTGCACCTTTGTACCTGACGCACCAGCGCCGACCCAACTCCACCACTACCCACGCCTCGGGGCAGGTGCGCCGCAGCAAGAAGGTATCGGTCCCCTGAGGGTGAGTCTAGCCCTGCTCGCTAGAAAGACCCCCCCCCTTGCTATGGGTCATACCTACGCAAACCCTTGCCGAGGCGGCGAGGGGAAGAAACCCTGGAAGGTTGTAAATGTACGAAAAAATACACTGAAAAGTGTAGTACTCTACATACGCTGAAAGGTGTAGAACACGTCTCACCACGAAAAATGGGGGGACTGTCCCCATGATAGATAAGGACGAAAACACTCATACAGTACATGTGAAAAGAGAGGAATTAGAGGTTGTTCTAGCTTATAAGCAGTTGTGACGGTGTGTGCATGGGTAGGGGGAGTACTCCCTGTGTCCGTGTTGTTCCCAGATGTTGTCGCATCAAGTGGCAGCATGTGTCATGGACAGGTAGACGTGGAAGGGCGGCGACAGGTGAACGGCAGCAACTTGTACAAGACGCAGTCCATCTTCGACCACATTTTGTTTCCCCGCGGCCAGGTTTTGAGACCACGGGCTCCCCATTTTTTGTGGACTTTTGAGCTTAGACTACGTGAGAAACAACACAACAACCCCGCAACAACAACAACCCCGCGGTCGGCACGCGTGAGAAGATCGCCTAAAGAGCACAGCAGCGTTGCTTTGTTGCGTGGGCGGGGTATAGACTTGGCACGCACGCCTGGACAAGTTCGGATTCTTTCTCCCTCGCTCTTGTTTTAACAGTTGTTGTTGTTGTTGTTGTTGTTGTTGTTGTTGTTGTTGTTGTTTTCTTGACGTTAAACTCGCGTCAGTTGCTAATCCCAAAATCCAGCAAAGACTCGGTCCGTGGTCACAAGAATGCTACACGAGTCTAAACTCGTGTCAGTTGCTTAATAATCCCCAAATCTAGCAAAGACTCGGTCCGTGGTCACAAAGATGCTAGAGCCATCACAAGATCTAAAGAACACACACACACACTATTCGCAAGAAAAGGGTACACAAGCCCGAGGAGGTACACCTGCAATCCCCGCAGCACGTTTGCGTGCTCACAACTGAACTACACGCCCATATACTACAATTCGACTCTGCAGCAGCATCACCCCCCTTGTCCCACACTTAACCAAAATGAATATTTGTCGACTACAGCGTACTGCTGTCTGAAGTGCTGTCTGTACAATAATAACACCATGGTGCATGGTACACAAGCTCGGGGCATGCAGCTGCCGTCTGAAGAGCTGTCAGAATGAGTCCGTGGACATACAATAAAGAAGAATACCCAACCAAAGCCATCATTGCAAATGACAATGACCCGAATCTATCCAGATCATCTGTGTTAGGTTAGCAAAGTAAACATCGACACTGACTAGTAATCGTTCCACATTGAAGGGGTCTTCCACGATGCAGGTACACAATTAAGGCACCCGGGTTATCCGCGCCATCTCTGCCGCGTCTCTACCAAACCAGTGACGTCATCACACACACCTAACAGTTATCTATTCAGAAAAAAAACGGGAAATAATTGACAACACAAAAGAGATGTTGTTGTCCGTGCGCCACGGTTCGATGCCGTCCGCATGCTCCGGTGCCGCTGCTCCGGTGCCGCTGTGGCCAGTCCTAGCACGACCAAACTCGACCCGCTCCGCTTCGTACACGCTCTTGTTGCTGTCCTTCCCAGTCGGTTCCTAGCTTTCTCCCTCGTTGCACTTAGGGTTCTTGGTCTGAAGATTCTCGCGCCGTAGGGTCAACCAGCCCAATCAGCTCGTCACCACCTGTCCCCTCCTCCTTTAATGGCAAAACCAGGTTTCTGAGACAGTACAGCTCCCTCTAGCAAACCTAGGGCCGTGTACTAGTGCCCGTCCACCTTTCTGATGACGTCTGCGTCCGCGCACAAAGATGAGATGGGCATTCCTACCTACACCGACGGCCTGGATGCCCGCGCGTTAGCACCTTGTACCTCACGCACCAGTGCCGACCTAACTCCACCACTACGAACGCCTCGCGGCGGGTGCGCCGCAGCAAGAAGGTATCGGCCCCCTGAGGGTGAGTCTAGCCCTGCTCGCCAGAAAGACCCCCCCCTCGAAGTGTACGTGACTGAGCTAGGAAAAATAGATGGGACGTACAGGGAGATGTTTGAGGCATGGAATGGAGAGGAAAGGACGGTAGCTGTACTGGGGCATAGGAGGTGGGTTGAAAAGGCGGGAAGGGGATAGACAGACTAGGGAAGAGATTTTTGAGCCACCTTTGGCAAAGTAGAAAGGAACGATTGGCCATCGGTGATCGGTCCTGTGGGAACAATGCTCCGTCCTCTCGAGGACATGTGGTCAATGGTCTAACCGCTAAGGCTTGCAAAGCATAAGAGTACAACCCCCCCCCTCGCTATGGGTCATGCCGATGCAAAACGTTCCCGAGGCAGCGAGGGGAAGAAGGGGCATATACCCCTACCCGAAGTTGTTGGATATCGCACACAACCTCGTACGGAACAACTGCTGTCTCAGAAAAGGATAGTTTGTGACAACAGCAGCAATTAGGACCCTTTCTGTCTGGGTGGAGGATTGTTGTTAGTGTTGTTGTTGTCGTCTTCAGTTCCGACCTTCGTTCAGTACCTTTTCTAATACCCGTCAGGTCCAACCAACGTACTACGTAGTGGACGCCTTCCGTGGTCAAAAGTCAAGTTGTACCCAAAGAGGGGCGTGCCTTTCGGATAAGGGAGGTACATTTGTCAACCAGGAAGGTCATTTGTGCAGGTGAAAGTTGATGCTTTGGCGCAGCAAGTAGACATCACAACAAGAACTGTTTGTTATGAGGATTCGCGGAACTTGAGCCGCTGCCCCGTGCGAGAACACAAACTCTCCGCAGTTCCTGCGTTTCTAGTTGTGTGTGCTGAAGAGACGCGGCGTTGATATCGTAAACGTAGCACGGGTGACCAGAGGCAGGTTGTGCGTATGTTGGGGCACCTGAGTTCGACCTGGGGGGGAAGGTTGTAGGGACGTTGCAGCCCGTGTGCAAGTCATCCCGCGTCTTGGCTAGTGGCGTTATTGCAAGGCCGCCGTTGGACAAGCTTGCCTGCCTGCAACTTGGGCGTTGCGTGCTACGAAGTATTTCATGATAAAAAATCAATCCCTCCCTTCCGTGGTTCTTGAAGTGCATGCCAAAACGTGTTTGCGTTACGAAGTATTTCATGATAAAAAATCAATCCCTCCCTTCCGTGGTTCTTGAAGTGCATGCCAAAACGTGTTTGCGAGAGGCGAAAAGCGAGCGTTGTGTTTTTCTACGGCCGGTGTCACCAAGGTCTAGTCAACAATTGAACCTTCCACACACACGCCTTTGTTTTAAACGCCGTCTTTCTCGTTATAAAACTTGTGCGCGCGTGCGTGCGTGCGTGCACAATACATACAGCAATCTGCGTAACCTGCTGGGCGCACATAGTAACTGCTCCAACGTTTGTTTACCTTCCTCCGTCCTCCGCAAGCTGCAAAGCTGGCATTCAGAGAGAAACGGAGTAGTTTGGACGAGAAGTCCAACAATTTTTTTTATGAGCGTCAGCCCATGTTGGCGAAATCACGCCTGGTTTACTCGCGAAGCTCTGTAAGGTACGTTGAAGTCGACGGAGGCAGCTCGATCCCCGCTCTGTTGCCATGAAAAAATATGAAATCGTCACAACAATATCAGTTGTTCATATACGTAATAATGTTAAAAACCGACAGCATCCACCACGTCTCCTTGGTTCGGTAATGTTCACAATACATGTGTACGTACGGGCCTGTGAGCAAAGAGACTACTGCTGTATGTACGCGGCGCATGCATGTGTGCGTCTCATGCTAATGTTTTCCTTTTTTGCGCCGGTTCTCTCCACTGCTGCTTCTCGCCCCCCGGTCTGTCGCAACGAAAACGGACTTTATATTTTTGCGACGTAATGCGGACGCGACAGATGGACGATCGAGGGCGAGACGGCCGCGGAGGGTGAAGACAAGTTTTTCTTCAACACGGTGGCGTTCACAACCCCGGGGAAGTACAAGGCAAGCGTCAGAATACTTGTGGGATGGACACACATGAACAGCAGTCAGTCATCCCGGTGACCGAGGTGGTAACAACGAAGTGGTAACACCGTAAACTTGGTAGTAGGTTGGCGTTCGATTTTCTCCCTGGATCGAAAATGTCTCCCCAGTCTGCGGCGGAAAATCGTGAAGTCAACTTTCCACGACCGAGGAGGGAAAGGGGTGGTTAAGCCGTTCTCGCGGGATAACCATTGAAAGCACCGCAGGAGGAAAGGTGGAGCATAAATATAGAACTACTGTTACCTGCTGCGCGACCTTCGCCTGTGTCACCTTCCCCTGTGTGGCCCCGGCTGTACGCCAACCTATTCACCGCAAGGTGTGTGTGTCAGTGTTGGAGAGATTGGATTCGAACACAAACGCCTTCGATCGATCGTGTGTTTTTTCTTCGTCCAGGTCTCGATCTTGATAAATCGGCAAAAAAGTTGGAAAAGGCAACATGCGATCTTGATCTTCATCACGATCAATTTCAACCAATATCTGTCGAAAATCGCGATCATGTCGGTTTCGACAAGGAAAGGGAGTTCCTCAGATGGATTTAGTGGGGGGGGAAGATCGAAAATATTCGAGAAAAACAACGCGATTTCATCTCGAGATTGGTCGATTAAACCGGAAGACTGTTTCAACCAAGTCAGTCTCCATCACCGGTGTGTATGCTGGCACCAGTGAAGGTGGCACGAACAGACCCTCATTGAAAGTATGCATACGTCCGAGTCGAACAGCCGTATGCATCCTGGGGGGTGCGGACGACCCGTCACCAGATGCCTGCCCTCCGCCCCCTCGGCTCCCTCTCAGAGAAAAAACTCTTGTAACTACCACTCGCTGTATAGTCTTGTGTCATCGAGTGCTGCATCCGTCCGATATTATAGAGTTGATAGTATAAGATAAAGTTACACCATTAGACTAGTCAGCGCTGGCTAGTCTATTGGTGTAACTTTATCTTAAAAAGATATGCTCAGAGCTCATTTGCACCCGCCTGGATCACACTGGTCACTTTCCCAAGCACCATTAAGTTCTTTTCAGGGAGCGTCTGGCGAGGGGTCCGTCCCCGGAGATCTCTATTCACGAAGCCAAAAATGTGATCCAGGCGGGTGCAAATGAGCTCTGAGCATATCCTTTATAAGATAAGGTTACACCATTAGTTTAGTCAGCGCTGACTAGTCTAATGGTGTAACTTTATCTTATAGATAGTGGTCGGTTGCTTCGCTGGGTCTAAATTTCTTCCCGGATATCTCACTAGTCGTTTAACCGGTCACCTTTTGACCCCCCGGTCTTGCTCGAGTTGGTCACCTGAGTTCCACCGAAACATTACTACTCCCCTATTCGCTTTCGCACGAGGTTGCATCATCCTCCCAAGCAAACGGCAATAACGAACCACGTCTGTCTAAGGCCTGCTCTCGGTCATGTATGCTCCTTCACTACCTCGCTTTGCACTACTTGCCGCCTCTTGTCTGTGGACCCTAATCGACTGCTGGTACCACAGCAGTGTCATGCGCGTTTGTACCCTCCCGCCGTACGTACTGCTGTATTTAAATAGTGCGTCGTCACAGTGCAGAACCCGAGCACGATCAACACGGCGGCGGCAAGGACATCCGTCCTCGAACATGAGACCTCCGCGGCCGCTGGTGGCCACGGCGGCGTGGCGACATCCGACTCCACCACCTCGTACTCTGCCGTCGCCGCCACCACCAGCACCGCCGGCGAGATCTTCGAGTACGAGTTCGTGGTGACGGTCAAGTACGTGCGCCGGGAGATCCGGGCCCTGACGGATCGGGACAGGGAGACTTTTTTCAACGCGGTGTCCGTGCTGCAGCGGGTGCCGAGCGCCGTCGGCCGTGCGTTGTACGGCGACAAGTACTACAGCAAGGACTTCTTCAACCGGATGCACCTGTACTACGGTGAGGAAATCGTCCATGTACCGAACGAGGAAGGCGATGATGCAAAATGCACGATTGTTGCGGTTAAATTTCCCGGTTATCATCTTGCCGAAGAGAAAGTGCTGAAATCACGGCGGTGGTGCAAGGGTGCCAATGTGAGGTATATGCAAGAGTTTGATTTCTCGTCAGGATATGTCCAGCTAACGTTCTATGCATCCATGGGTGTGTATTCGGATGGGATATCAGCAGACCGAAAGTATTTTGACATGAACAACTGATAATTATTGAGACAACGTTTGTTGGAAGGAGCCGGAGAATGGAACAACATCGACGTTTTTATCGAGCACGCAAAGGTCGCGTGGGTGTGTTGTGGATCCCTGCACTACCGTTCGATGAAAACCATTCCCAGTCGTGTCACCAGTGCAACATGGGAGCGTACACCACAATCATTCAATAGTGGCCGGTTCCGGCAGTTTTCCGAAAACGTGTTATCACATGGTTCGTGCATTTTCTTCGTCATGGAGAAATCGAGCTTTGAAAACCGGCTCAAGGGGTGCGGTATGATACGTATTTCACCTGCGGTATTTTGTACTGGTTCGCCCTCCCGATCGCCCCCCATTCCCTCTCTCTCTTTCTTTCTCTCTTTCTCTCTCAAATCTAAGAACCGATACTACACCTTCAGGCAGTAGGGTAGTTGAGTCTACAAGGGTCGCGGGTGGGAACGTCGACTGGATTGGTCGCACTATAACATGAAAAAATGATTCACACCCGAACGATGGCTGGGTTGAAGTATTACTACACGGCTCCATCGTAGGCGGATCCCCAGACATACAGCCTACCGCTGTCGTCCCACCGTACGTCGAGGTCCAACTCGACCATAAGATTTGCACTAACATTTATTTTTCCTCCCTGCCCGATTCTCCCGTCCACCGACGGCCACGACACGACTACGCCGGAATGACCCCCTTGAAATCGGGTACAGGCGGAGCCCGGGACTGCGACCACTGGCACGCGGGCGCAGGCTTCGTGACCGCGCACGTCGCCATCACTCTCATGTACGAGCAGGCGTTGCAGGCGGTGAACCCGTCCATCGCGCTGCCCTACTGGGACGTGACGATCGAGGGAACCTACTACGACTGGAACGACTTCCGCACGAGCTCGGTCTTCTCAGACGATTGGTTCGGCGATGCCGCTCCTGGAAACGTGAGACCGGCAGCAGCTTCCGCGGGAGTCGATTAATGTTCGCACTTTCCCACAGCCGCAGTTCTTTCACAGGCACAATGCACTACTGCGTGTCTTGGTTCCGACCGCCGCGCTCTAGGATGGCGAAGCATTTCGCCATGTGGAACAATTACACTGTCTCGACTCTCTCCTTCCCAACAACGGTACACCTCAACATAATTCCAGGTGACACGTGGAAACGTGTGTATCTTGCCGTATCAGGGAAGCCTGCAGAGATGCGTTGCCGAGATACTACAAAGAACAACACAATCAAAGTGCGGGCACAACACCCCGCCCCGCCTGTCGGACACTAACCCCGTCTCGAAAGCGAGGCGAGGTGAGCGTACGATTGACCGAAGGCAAGCAACAAACGATTACCCTTGTAACCCCCGTATCTCCCGAAACGCCATCCATCCATGCAAACCCGATGCGACGACAGACTGCTAGAACGCTGACCCAGGGGAGGTTCGCGTACGTCCCCGTCATGACCGACGCCCGCGAGTACTCCGCGCAGTACAACTCCTACGGGCTGCTTCGGTCTGCGTGGAACAACGACCGCAACCCCTTCCTCACTCGCCACGACCACCAGCTGGGCATGATGAACAACAAGAAGCCTTCGGGCTGCCGGCGCTACCGCGACGCCTACGTCGCCGAGGACTGGTGAGTGTCGCGTTCGGACCGATGTGCGATTTTTATCGTTGGGGACGTACGGGCGATCGGGGGGGAGGATGGGGCACCGGTGCAGGAGAGTGCTGCGTGACAAACCTTTTACAACTCACAGGCTTTGTCGCCGCAAAAAAATGTACTGTACAATTTTGTAATCAAGCACCCGAGCAAGTGTGGCACGTTTGGGAGGCGATGTTTGAGAGAAATTCTTTTTTCCACCAGCCAAACAACAAAATGAGAACTAGAGGTTTTGCACACAGTGGTTCTTGGAGGGTTGTAGCTCGTGGAGGCGTGAACGGGGAGCAGGCTGGTGACAATAAGTGCGGCGCCACAAGTGGGACGACCGGCTTCCCTCTGGTTGTGATCCATGCATGTGTAGGACGTGTCTTGCTCCGTCTTCCTTCCTCCACCCCCTCCTCCTTTCGGGTTCTTTGCCGTCAAGGGTTGGCTTTTCAGACACACGGGTCTNGAGGCGATGTTTGAGAGAAATTCTTTTTTCCACCAGCCAAACAACAAAATGAGAACTAGAGGTTTTGCACACAGTGGTTCTTGGAGGGTTGTAGCTCGTGGAGGCGTGAACGGGGAGCAGGCTGGTGACAATAAGTGCGGCGCCACAAGTGGGACGACCGGCTTCCCTCTGGTTGTGATCCATGCATGTGTAGGACGTGTCTTGCTCCGTCTTCCTTCCTCCACCCCCTCCTCCTTTCGGGTTCTTTGCCGTCAAGGGTTGGCTTTTCAGACACACGGGTCTCTCAGTGGGTGTCGAATCAATACATTTTTTGCGTAGATCTTTTGCTTGCCCTTACGTTTCTCCTTTTTTGGTCCCCCTGTCCTGGTCGTTCTAAGGATGAAGCTCACGGAAGCCTTCAATGGCGGCGCTCACGGCAACATCCACGGGCTGTTGGGCGGGACGTGGTCTCCCGAGGCGGACGAGTACGCCGCGGTCACGCCGTACATCGTAATCCCCTTCGTTCACCACGCATACGTGAGAGGAAAAACGAGCGACTGCGGCCGTAGCTGTAATTCAGGAAGCATGTTGTGGAGATAAATGTGTGTGCATACGTGTATGTATGTATTGTGCTGCGTGGTGACGAGGGGTGGAATGTGTTGAGGATACAATTTCGGCGTTGGTGTGGCATGACCGGGGGCAAGTGCGATGAGCAGAGAAGAAAGCGAGAGTGAAGTTGTTTTTCGCGGAAAAGAGGAAGACACGTGGTGCGTATGGACAGGTACACTGCGCGCGGGCACTTTTGTTGTACCCTTGGGTGGGGTCGAGACATTTGCTCATTCAAGGTTGCCAACATATGCTTTGTGTGTGTTTTCGTCCTATTATTATGGCGACATTCCCCCCATTTTTCGTGGTGAGGCGTGTACTACACTTTTCAGCGTATGTAGAGTAATACACTTTTCAGTGTATTTTTCGTACAACTACAACCATCCAGGGTCACGGAGGAGGGGGTAATCGCCAGGGCTGCTTTCTTCTTTTTATTTCTTTTCATGCCCCACCTTCCTCCTGCGGTGCCTGCTGAAATTTACTTTTATCGCGAGAAGGGTCCAGCCGTCCCTTTCCCTCGTCAACGGTGCTAGCGTCGCAGTTTGGTACTCACGACGAGAGCTTTTTAGCTATATTTCGCTTTCACCCGCAAATTTCGTATATTTTTCACCCCATGAAGATTCGAACCCAGGACCTCTGCGACTAGCGGATTACGAGGATACCACTAGACCACCGGGGCGATATGGAAGGAAAAGGGATGGATTTCACCTTTCATGCGATTGCCTGAAGGCTCCGCGCTTACATATATTTAGTGTTTTTCGTTTCAGCCGATGAGTTTCTTCCCCGCTTTGCGTTGTTGCGAAGTCTTGCGGCCACCGGCATGTACGATGATGATGAGTGCACCCCCTGGGCTCTGTTCATGTTTTTCCGACGCGCGGCAGATCGCGCAGAAGATCATGTGGCGGGAGAACGCCATCGAGTGCCCAGAGAGCTGCACATTCGATCAGGGTTGGAAAGACTGCCAGTGCCAATGCAGCGAGTCACTCATGGAAGGGAGGACAGCGGCCGAAGTCAGTACCGCGTTGCGTGTTGCTTTTTTGACTGCGTGATGTGCGTTTTCGCAACCATCCACAGCGAGCGGATTTGCTTGTTGACTTCGCGACTCGAGTGGTGTATTTCAATGCTGTTGGAGTTTCGATATTTGATTGAAGGCAGATATTTCAGCAGCTTGTAGCCGATCTCTTAGACCGAAAAATCGGCAAACAGAAATAGGACGGAAAATAATGGTGACTTTTCATCGAGTGTCGTACTGTTTGGCATTGAACGTAACCACCACAGGGAAACGCGGGACATTACCAAACAACCCCCCAGATTTTCTTCCTCCTGTGTGGCCCAAGCTGATCCCCTATCGATGTTTCGGAATGTGTAGAAGGTATTGCAACCACAACATTTACAACAAAACTTTTACAACAAAACTTTCCCGATACCAACCGAGAATGCCAGATGGAAATTCTGACCTCCAACAAGCCCACAGGCAGCTGGTGCGCTCTTGCTGCAATCAGCTGCACCTTGCGTCACGCCCCTACCCCCCCACCGATTTGATCACCCATCCTTCCCTCTCCCTTTCCTTCCCACCCTGAACTGGCACCGTGCCGTCATACAGTTCCTGGAGTTGGGCAATGTCATTGCGACGGGATACTTCTACGATGCGGACTACCAATTAGTCCTCGAACTGGCTGACTCGGATGTACGTCTCGAGTCTTCCCTTTGCCGTGCTGTCCACTTTTTTTTCGATGCGGGCGACGCTCTACGCGAATACAACGTTTTTCTCCAGGCAAACCTCACCGGCGAAATAGTTCTAAACACAAGTGCGGCCTTTCTCCAATGCCGCGAGTACTCCCAACATGTTGGCTCCACGCACATTGTGTTGTTTAGTTCGTAGCGCCGAGAGGACGTAGACAGTGGTGCGTAGGGACGCCGTCTATGCACTCGTTCGGCGCGTTTGTATCGTCGCGTTTTGATTGGCCGATTGCGTAAACTGCAGTTTGACATTCGGCCAAGGTGTTTCACAGGTTGTCAATCTTGATTTCTCTTTTTTATACCGCTTTTCCGACCGCTCGTTCTATCGAGGAAAAATATTAACCTTTGTTAGGTGCCGCTTTCCCGTCTGTATGTTGTCAACCATTTTGTTGTTGATGACTTCACGTGAAGAACCGTTCCCATCTCTCTGCCCAACACCTTCTTCTGTCCGTACTGATACCCAACTTGATGTGGTCGATTCCTGTGGTCACCGGCATATTGAAATGTTTGTTCGTCGGGTGTTATGTCTTCTCATTCTTTTCTTTCAACAGGGGCACTACTACGAAGAGATTCCCGGCTACTCCGCCGAGGAGTCCACGGCGATTTACGAGGGGCTGAAAGACGCGCTGTGCATCCCGACGAAAGTCGGCAGCCATTTCGAAGCCACGAGCACCAACGACGTGAGTGCCCACAAGGAACCGCTTCTGCTATCGTAAGAACACGAATGAGGGCCTAGCCTACGGAGGAGAAAGGAACAACAGACTACAGTCTTTTACCGTGCTAAACACTGATACAGTAGTGCCTCCCTTGTGTATCCCCGACCATATTGTGGTGCGAATCTCTTCGTTTTGCATCAGTAGTGCCTCTCTTGTGTATCCCCGACCATGTTGTGGTGCGAATCTCGTCCTTTTGCATCAAGCTATCCTCCGACCAAACCAAGCACATCCTCCCATGTCGCCAACCACTTGTTGCCCTTTTCTTTCGCCACGAAACCGTCTGCCACAACACATTTATCTCCATCTGGGGGTCAAGAGTCCAACATCGTTGTTGTTGCTGTTGCTGCGCCAACCGTTTCGCTGTGCTCCTGTTTCGTTTCCATCGTGTGTCCAGGTGACCTTCTGGGTGCTCCACCCTACCTTCGACAGGTGAGCGTAGGAAAAGTTGTTCCGACATGCAAGTGATCCAGGCCGAGAAAGAATTCACTTGACAAGACTGACCTCCGGGAGGCGTTTTGCTTGCCCTGGGGATGTTGCTTCGCGCGCATGAAGGCTGTGTTCTTGTTGGTTGGAGACTGCCAGAAATGTAATGAACGATCTTGCAATCGAAAAGGAGTCGTCCGATTGGCGTTGCTCGTGATGTTGACATGAATTAAGCTCCACCCTCCCATCGTTAGTCGCATTTCACACGCAACACTTGTCGGCTATCCCCCAATCAAATGCTGGAGTTGGAGGCCATCTACCTCGAGTAGGAAGTTGACAGTGCCTTGTCACGTGCGGGAAACGCATTCTTGGCCAATGATCAATCTCCTCGAGTTGTACGACGCCTCCGCCATGCCCGGAACCGCCAAAACGGCACGACATCTCAACCAATGCGGAACCTCGCTTTTCGACCATGAATGGATCAGGCTCTGGCACCTCTCGCGCCTGGAACAAGACCCGGTCTTCAACGAGACTTGGATATCGGACTCCACCTGTGTCGGCCACAACGCGGACGACGTCCAGCCCTTCCACGATCTGTTCCTGGAAGAGCACGAGGAGGAGCCTGACGTGGTCGGGTCGGCGGGGGGCGAAAGTGTGGGTCCCCTGAAGGGGTACTACACAAACGCGGAGCTGTACGACCTGCTTCACCCGGCGGGAATGCAACTTCCGTACGTGTACGACAACTTCGCGTGGCCGCACTGCGACGTGAGTGATGGTTGCCATTCATTGTTGGTGTCATATATTTTTGTTGCCGTTTCTCATTGTTGTATTTTGGGGCTTCTGGTGTTGCCAAGCGAGAGCGACCAGAGTACCTCACACGACACGAGCGTTGGGCGGTGGATTCTGCGTTGTTGAACCTCGATCGAGCTGATCCCAATCTCGGATGGAGACGGCACCCGCTTGGACCATCAGCATCTGTGTCGGGAAGGAGCGTCTCATGAAAGGCCGAGTCCATGGTCTGTGAACAACGCAACGCACTCGCGGTGAACCCCGCCGACTTTAACAGGTGCCCGTGTATTCAGCGCCAACTCGCTGTTGTCGTCGATTTCATGTAGACACAACGACTTACTCTCGATCTTGCTTTCGTCGTGTTTGACCAATGGCAGGCCCAAGGAGTTTACATCAAGTGACGAATTTTGAGGCGATCGTGATGGTCTTCGGGCTTGACCGGAGTTCGTCGCCGATGGCGGCGTTTGGCGTCGCAACGGACTTTCTTGGTTGTTGGGACTTCTATACAAGTCGGCGTACAATGTCGACAACTGCTGCTGCTTTTGTCCGTTGGTGCTGCTCACATTATGCATACAGCGTACCCGGTTAGGCAGCCTCCACCGCTACTCAATACCGCAGGGAGCTTCACGCGTTCTGCATAACGTCGTGGGTAAGGGCGAGCCGTGAGGTACTTCGTTGCCAGCAAGTCTCTCCGCCTGACTGTATCAAACAATCACTCACGGGCGTGCAGTTCAGGCGGAAAGCTTGTGTCCAAGTCGACGAGGGACCCGGTTCGGTCATCTCTGATGACCGAACTGGAGTGAAGGCGATAGCGGCGGCATGCGAGTAACGCTGCGTCGACAGCAATGTTTTGTTCGCTCCCAACGCTGGGTAGCATGCATGTACGCAATAATGATCATTACCGGGGAAAGTACTAATGGTCCCGGAGGGGGTTAAAGATGTTCGTCAACCCTAAGTGGTATGCCCTTGTTGTCTTTGTAGAGACTGTAGTGCTCGATGTTTAGATGCTTGTTATCTCTCACATCCGGTTGGGGGGAAAGAGCAGGGAGTGCCACGCAGCAGGACAGCTGCCGTGGGGGGCTCCACATGATTATTGTACTACCCAATATGCCTGTGTGCGGGGCACCTGAAACGGTCATCTCGTCTACAGATCCGACTACATACGTCATCACACGAACACCCTCCCTGGTTCTTTACGTAACAGTAACTAATCACTTGCAGTGGGATGCGTACGTACGTCACTCTCAGTCAAGGTTTCCGCACGAACAACAAATACAAAAAAACGCAAGGGGAAACCCGGCCACCGGATCAAAACCCCGCCCAAGACCCCCATCACAAATAGGACCGTCTACGGCACTCCAAGGAGGCAAGGCCACTAAACATGACCGGATAACGCCAACCGGTCAGTAACGTCTTCATTTGAGTCAATATTCTTGCCACCGTGGTGCCAAGGTCATAACATCACCAACAACGTCCTTACCGCGCACCCTTCCCGCCACGCTTCAGTAGCATCTGCCAAGTACCCAATAAAAAACAAAGTTTTTGATGCAAATACCAAGTACCACTCAATAAAGGCCAATAAAGTCTGCTGCAAATCTACTGCCATTGCCCTCCCCGCTCGACGAACAACTATCGATGATCTGAGCACCAATCTTTCTCCTCCCCTCTTGTTTCTTGCGCGTCACGGCGCCCCCGGGGTCGGTGATGTATGTATGTGCAATCATCCTGGGACAACTGTTTTGCCAAACGCATTAGTCTAGGCGCTATCAGCCCGCTTGCATAAAACTCTAAAACACCTCTCTCATCCTACACTCGCGGGAAACACTCCGGACGGTCTACATACATGCATCGAGAACTCATCATCGCTGGGGCTTCTCCGCTCCTAAATGACAAACAAGCACAGTGATTCTTGTCATGGGGCTTCCCTCCTACAAGACACTGCTGTCATACAAAGTGATTCTTATCATGGGGCTTCTCCCCTTCTACAAGACACACACTGCTAGCATAGATATTGGATACGCCTTGCTACTGCGAATCCCTCAATACGGCGGGTACGTCTGGTACATGGGTCCACACCTACCTGTCGCAACAACGGAAATGTCACGTACAGCAGCGACAGTGTCCTCCCCTCCCCATTTCCACCTTACGCACACAACGTGATACATCTGGTACCATGGGTCCACACCTGCAGCAACAACGAAAATGTCACCTACAACAGCGTCCTCCCCTCCCCATCCCAACTCGTACTGCACAAGGTGGCACATCTGGTGCATGTTTCCACACCTACCTGTCGCAACAAACGGAAATGTCACCTACAACAGTTTCCTCCCCTCCCCATTTCCACCTCATGCCTGCACAATTTTAACTGCGCTGGTATCTGCAACTTCGATACACCGGGTCCTGTGTACCCCTTTTCTGGCCGACACGCTGGATACTGTTTTTCCCCTGTGCGTGAGTCTTTGATCGGCTTTGATACACCTGGTCCTGTGTACCCCTTTTCTGGCCGACACGCTGGATACTGTTTTGCCCCTGGGCGTGAGTCTTCAATCGGCTTTGATACACCTGGTCCTGTGTACCCCTTCATTTCAACCGACACGCTAGATACTTGTTTGTCTCCGTGCGTGAACCTTTAATCGACTGCGGGGAGCGCTTGTGCTGCATCCCCTCATTTGATACACCTGGTCCTGTGTACCCCTTCTGTTCAACCGACACGCTAGATACTGACTGGTTTGCCCCTGTTCGTGAATTTTCATCGGTTGTGGGGAGCGCCTAAGCTGCATCCCCTCCTTTGATACGCCTGGTCCCGCGCACCCCTTTTATTCTGCCCCAGACAAAGCTTTCATCGCCCGCGGACATCATGAAATGGAAGCGCCTGTACCGCGAATCCCCATCATAGAGTGACTGGTTTTCGGAGCCGAATTACCATCGTACGAAACACCCGCGATAACACGCCTGGACTTTACCATCGAAAAAGACGAACTACAATTGCTCAACGAAACACCCACACTCAAGATTGGAAACGCCTGAACCGCGAATCCCCTTTCGAACAACATCATTGGTCGTATCATCGTAAGCGAAGCTACCATCACTCTACGAACACCAAATCAGAAAATGGAAACGCCTTAACCGCGAATCCCCTGTAGAAACTTTCGATAGCATTCGTCACAAGCAATATCATTCCATATTACTCACGAATCTCAACCAGAAGCGCCCCGCGGCAACACCGCATTGTTGTTGGCCCTCGTTCACAAGCACAGCAGATTTCGCGGTCTCGCCCTTGCTCCTCTGCGGCAATTCCACGTTCACCAGAATGGCCGTGGCTGCAATCCTCCAGTTCCCAAGCGCGTACTTTTCCCGCGATCAACAGGCTCGTGTGCTGTGCCGCCCGCTACTCCACCGCCGACACCACCACCCCTCTGCTGCCTTGTCATTGGGCCGGTCCCAACAGGTCGCCCATGTGTGTGGCCCCGAAGTATTATCCTCCAGGCTCCACCTCCTGACACCTCGTTCGGTGTGCCCGGGGCAGTCAAGCTGCCCCCAGCAGCGCCTCTGCTAGAGCTACCAACCGTACAGAGAAAGTCGATGGTCTGGAGCCCAACTAACCCACCATTTGCAGGGGCGCCAAACGCCCGCACCGGTTCACCTTCCGTGCCCGATCTACTGCTGCTCTCTCTTCCAGCGGCGTCATTTGTTCTAACGCCAGCCTCAGCGTGCAGCTCTGATAGGCAGCTGCTTGGCGGCGAGATTCCGACAATCCCACCGCAGGATACGGTGCGTCTCCCAGCACCGCCTGACCCCCCTCGGCTTCCGCAATCTGACTTTGCCTGCAGCAGCGATGGCATCTTGTCCATCATCCCCTGCATCCAAGCTCCCTGCGCATTACTTCCCAGCGGGGGGGCAGCGGATGGGTGGCCCGGGGGACCTACTCCCCCGACTCCACCGGGTGGCACCCCAACCCGTGTGCCCGGCGCGGCTCCTCCGCGCCCTGCGGCGTTGCCAGCGCCGCTTGACTCCCCCTCTTCTGCCCCCGCCGCCCTGGCAGGCGGCATCTGAAGCTGCCCTAGCTCCTCCATGACAGCCGACAGCACCTTGCTCTGCTCCTCGAGCCTCTTGAGTGGTGACGCGTTTTGCTTCGAACCCATCGCCGGTTTATACCTTTGAAGGTTTTAGATCTATCGGTTTGATATCCAGGGCCCTCTCCCGCAGTTTTAACTAATATTTATTATTATTATTATTTTGTTTGCCCTCCGACAATTGCAGATAAATGCAGACATACATAAAACGTCGATCGTAAAGGCCGTCATGCCAAGCCAAAAAAACTCGATGCCCAATAGCTAGGAATGNCTTGACTCCCCCTCTTCTGCCCCCGCCGCCCTGGCAGGCGGCATCTGAAGCTGCCCTAGCTCCTCCATGACAGCCGACAGCACCTTGCTCTGCTCCTCGAGCCTCTTGAGTGGTGACGCGTTTTGCTTCGAACCCATCGCCGGTTTATACCTTTGAAGGTTTTAGATCTATCGGTTTGATATCCAGGGCCCTCTCCCGCAGTTTTAACTAATATTTATTATTATTATTATTTTGTTTGCCCTCCGACAATTGCAGATAAATGCAGACATACATAAAACGTCGATCGTAAAGGCCGTCATGCCAAGCCAAAAAAACTCGATGCCCAATAGCTAGGAATGTTGCCTCTAAGTCAACAAAACTTTGGTTGAAACGCTACAGCTGAACTCTAGGCACGAACCTTAGATGGAGAAAAACGAACAAAACCCCAACCTCATCCACTCGAAATAAAAAAAAACTCGGCCCCGTCTTCCCTGGTACCCCTGACACCGTATCGAACAGAAATCCGCTTTCCACCGAAGTGGTTAGGTGAAAGCTGTCGCACGCATATTTCGGCGCGCAAAAGTCTGTGGGGCATTGCTGATCGATACTGCCACCGGTCACACCAAGAGAGAAACATCCGCCGTCTTGCTCTTTCTGAGGCACCCCCCACTCAAGCCCTCGTTCCTCCAGACCCCCGACACTGCCACCCCTTGTTCCTACTTCCTTGCCACCTGCAACCACAAGGGCCAAGCCCTCCCCCCTCAGCACTCCCGACACCGTATCGAACAGAAATCCGGTTTCCACCGAAGTGGTTAGGTTAAAGCTGTCGCACGCATATTTCGGCGCGCAAAAGTCTGTGGGGCATTGCTGATCGATACTGCCACCGGTCACACCAAGAGAGTAACACCCGCCATCTTGCTCTCTCTGAGGCACCCCCCACTCAAGCCCATGTTCCCCCAGACCACCGACACTGCCACCCCCTGTTCCTACTTCCACGTTGGGGTAAAATGGTGACGTATCCTCGAGGCAGATAAACAGTGCTTACAACTGTCGCTGAAAGTGAAAGCACCAGGAAATACATGAAGTCATACGCAGCTGTCATCCGTATGCAAGGAAGTGAGCACAAGATGCCAAACACCCTTAGCAGGATGCAGCGCATCCTTGATGCAACTCGTCGAATATCCCACGGAGCTTCGCCCTTGGTGATGCGCGGGCCTCGTCCGGTGAGAACCCGGCGTGCTCCGTCTCGGCTTTGTAGGGATGTGAGGTCAATGGTCTAACCACTACGGCATGCACGACTATG